AATTAAAAATAAAATAAATATCTTAAAAATATACTTTTCAAAAAATTAATTTAATTTTATTATTTTTATTTATTACAAAATTATTTACTTTTTGTTTTTTACAGTACAATAAATCTATAAATTTGTGCTAGGAATGCGAGATATATAGAAGCAAATAAAAATACTCGAAAAAAAAGAAACAAACTCCATAAACGCGTATGCACTTAATTCTATAAATAGACAATATGTGAAGCACGCGTGAATGAGATGGCTATCTTATAGAGCGGGTCAGTGAATTTCAGATGCGTTAATTCCTATGACAGACAGCCAGCGAGCGCACTGTGGGAGCTGAGCTGGTCAATGTGTCAAAGGCGAAATGTTGATAAAGATGGTTTTACTTGACGTTTTGCTGAATATGCCCGAGTTTCATGGAATATGCAAATGTTGTTGCTGCTCGTTGATGTTGTTGTTGTTGTTGTTGTTGCCTTGTCATCTGTTAACAATAAATGCAGCAGCAACGAGCTGCTGGTGAAGCCGATGGCCTAAAGCCGGCAGCGTGGCCGGCAACAAGCTAAAAAAAAGAAAAAAAAAAAAAAATGAGGAGAGACAAGGCGACGCGCGCGTGGCACATGTCAAAAGCGAGGGGAAATTGTTGAACAAACAGCAAACAGACGCAGACGCAGCGTGAAAATAAATTGAACAGCCCAGCGAAGCGTCACTGACCTACGCGTACACGTGAGCAACAGCAGCAACAGCAACAACAGCAGCAACAGCAACAACAACAACAACAGCAGCAACAGAAATAGCCAAAGCAAAAAGCTGCCCCCGCAGCGTGAATTTCAAATTTCCCAGTCGGCAACATTCTGTCTGTCGGCTGGGCGATGTTGCTGCAACAAGCGGTGGCACGAAGTGGCGCCAGCGTTCGCTTCGTGTCGTCATCATCGTGCCTCGTGGCTCGTGCGGCGTGCGTCGTCTGCCACTGTGTGGATGCTGCACACGTTCGGTCTGGGGCCGGCCGATTGCCGTCGCAATTCTTCAGCTTCAGTCTTTGCGCGATTTTCAGCTGCTGCGGTCCGGTCCACAGCCACAGGGCGAGCCAGCCAGCTAGAGTCAGTCAGTGCAGGCCGTGTTCAACGTGTTGCTAGTCGGCGTACGTACGTACGACGTACGTGCAGCAGCGTCTAACGGTACGAAACTCTTTTGCCGGAATCCGTTCACAGTGCGTGCGGTGCTTGTGCCGTGGGGCAGCCACTAAACAACTGCTCAATAGTCATTGGCATAGCTACGATTAGCGATACGAGTTTTCCTTTTGCTTACGTTTTCCAAATTATTTTTTTTTATTTTTCGGAATTTTTTTTTTTTTTTTGAGCGCAAATAAAGTTGTTTTTTTGTGACGCCGCGTGTGGTGAGATATCGAAGCGCGCTTTGTGGCGCACGTTGCGCATTGTCCAGTGAGTGAACTGCAAACGTAAACAGATAGTATCAAGTGCCCGAAATAAACACAAATCATAACAACAACAACAACAAATCAAAAGCTACAACAACAACAACAAGAGCCCTTCTGTGAGATTCGTGCGGGTAAGCCTTGAATCGCTAGCTAACAAAAGCCGCAAATCTTGTCGACCCCGAAAAACCGCAGAAATTTATATCAATTAAGACTTGAGTGAGTCCCCTAAAGGGGCAGCGGGGGAAGGGGAGTGTGGTGGGGTCTGCTGATAGTGCTGATAGTGCCAAATAGCCGCAAGAACTTGACATTAGAGATTGACGCAAATATGGCCGGAAGATATACGCCTAATATAAATCCAATAAATATTATGCATCTGACTAGGCAATGATATAGCCATAGCTAAAGCATCGTTAATAAATGTTTAGTTAATTATGCAAATTTGTTGCCATTGTTTCTATTTATTGACTTTCACTTGTTCAACAAAAGAAATTGTAAATAACATAAACAAAAACACAAACAAAAAATGAAAATGCGGAAATATTTACAAATATGTTTGCTTATAATTATTTTGGCTTTGTTAAATTTGTTTTTATTTAATTATGTTAGCAATCAATGCTAAATAAAACGTTTCATTTTTTTCGTATATCTTTTTTCAATAAAAATTAATTTAATGTAAATTGCACATTATTTAATTTTAATTACAAAATTCATAGAAAAAAAATTTTTTATTGAAATCAATTTATTAGCTAACTCGAAAGGAAATTTGAGGCCAATTGAATTGTGTACAAAAAATTCCGATATTGGTTTAGGCTGAGAACAGTTGAAGGCTTATATGGCTTGTATATAAGGCTGAGGGTGTTACCGACTGCGCAATACTCACTTAGGGACGTAATGCTGCCAGCTCCCAATTCCACTTTGCCGCGTCCATAAGTGAGAAAATCTTGATACTTTCTGATTCCAGAATATGAATATATGTTTAAAATTTGCCAAGTTTTTGGCTTGCATTCAAACAGACCGGCCAAGTAGTCATTACACACAACCAATATACTCCTTTCGATTTCGTGAGTGAGCATAAAATAATTTTGAATTCAGTTATTCCCAGACTTTTTCCAAAGTTAACTCCAAGCCAAACTCGTGCGGCGCTCAGTCACTTACTTAAGCCAATGCCTAATCAGAGTGCACAGTTGAGGCGTTATTTCTGATTTCAACTTTGCCATGCGATGCATTGATTCAGTTAGCAGCACCCAGCGCCATGGCCGCTGCGTGTTGGCCTTCAAAAATCCTTTCGCCCGAAGTGGGAGCTCAGCCACGTTGAGCTGGAGCTAAACAGAAAATCACAAAAAAAAAAAAAAAAAATGGAAAGAAAAGAAACGAAACAAAAAATAAGCACTCGGGCTAAAAAGCTGGCAAAAAATGACTACAAATGGATATACAAATGGAAATGCAGAAAGTGCAGCAGCAGCAGCAACGGCAGCAGCATCAAAAGCCAGCGGAAATGGACAGTAAATAAATGTTTACAATTTTTCTGTTGCGCCTGCTTTAGTTGGGTATCATTTCTTTTAGTTTTTTGTTTGCCTTTGGCACATAAATATTCCGGAAATTGTGTAGCCGCTGGCAAAGTAATGGCCAAGGCACTGCTGCTGCTGCTGCTGCTGCTGTTGCTGCTGCTGTGGGCCCATGGAGAACGTGGCCAAATCAGAGCTTACTCTGAAGCACAAGAAATGAGTATATGAATAATGTGCTAAACACTCGCAGCTGCTGCTCAGACAAGCAAATTTCATTACTGCCAGCAATGCGCTGCTCTTATTTCTTGCATTTCTTATTAAGACTTTCGTTTATTTTTTACCTATTTAAGAGACTTTAGTATGCCCGAGTGCCCCGTCCTAGCTGTGAGCCATTGCATTTCTCATTTCATAGAATACCTATATAAGATTATATGTAGTCAGCTCAGTCAGTTGATGACGAACGGTGTTGCTTTTGCTTGACTGATCTTTTAATTAATATCAATCAGTCAGACCTACATAATTTCAGTAATACATCAATCACATGGCATCAATGAGCTATCATATAGCTTGCAAATTTTCAGCTTTTCAATTATTAAATATTTTATTATCAGCTAAGTCAATCATCAATCCATTTACCAATCATTATATTAGTTAATCTATTAGCAATTAATCAATCATAAGCTCATTAGACAGTTACTGTCAATCATACAGTAGTATGCGGTTGGTTAATAAGTTAATCAGTCAATCAATCAGGCAATCAATAATATACCCACTAATCAGCGAATCAGTTAAATGATGGAACAATCAATCAATCAATTAGTTATCATCAATCAAACACTGTCCTTCAGTCTGTCAGTCAGTAAATCAGATAGTCTATCAATCTAATCAATCAGCCGTTTGGTCAATCATTTATTCAATCAATTTAATCAGTTTGTCGGTACAACAGTTAGTCCATCAATCTACGAGTCAATCAAACAGCCAATCAGCTAGTCAATCAGTAGTGGATGCTAAGCAATCAGTTTCTCAATCAATTAGTAATTTAATCAGCTAGTTATTTCATCATGAAATCTAACAGACGCTACATCAGCTAATCAATCAATCGCTCCATCAGGCAATCAATCAATTTGTCCATTAATTTATCACACAGTCCATCAAAAAGTTCACCATCCAATCAGCTTATCCTACAGTACATCAAATGACCTATCGCCTGTAGACATCTGTAGATCACTCAATCAATCAGTCAGTCCATCATTCATTATGCCAACCAGTTAGCCAATTAGGCAATGAACCAGTGCGTTTCCTGCGAAGATGCCGTCGACTAGTTAGCTTAGTCTCATTAGTCTCTCATTAAAGGAGTCAGCCCGTTGAAACAAATGCCAAATGCAGCTGCATGGTTCAAGTCCTGGTGATATTTCTGCAGTCTGCATGAATTCATTTATGTGTATGCAAATAAATTTATTTATAATTTAGGAGAAAAAAAATTAAGAATTACACTTGAATGCAGCAGCAGCGGCAGCAGCTTTCGAGAGACAAGTAGTTCAATTACTGCATAAGGTACTTGTAACGAACCAGTGCTGATGCTGCCCCTGCTCCTCCTGGTGCTACTGCTGTTGCTGCTGCTGCTGCTCCTGCTGCCGTTGCTGCTGCTGCTGCTGCCGTTGCTGCTGCTGCTGCTGCCGTTGCTGCTGCTGCTGTTACTGCTGTTGCTGCTGCTGTTGCTCCTGGTGCTGCTCATGCTCCTGCTGGTGTTGCTCCTGCTCCTGCTGCTGGTGTTGCTCCTGCTCCTGCTGCTGCTGCCAACTGCCAACTGCCAACTGGCACTAGGCTGTTCCCGTTACACTCTCTCTCTCTCCCCTGCCCACCCTTACACCCACTCCCTCTCTGAGGGTCACTTTGTTGCCGAACGCTGAGCCCAGGCGCCGAACTAATTTAAGGCAATTATTTGAGCCACCCGCTGCCGTTGCACAGCGAGCCTGAAAGACTTAATAAAAAGGATATTATGTTTCCCTAACACCTATATTTATATATACATGTATATATAGATATATGTATATGTGTGTGATATCTAGTGTATGGCCTCTAAGTATTTGAGTGTGCATAGAAATTCAAGGTTTCAGCTTAAGCAATTGAATTTCAAACTAGATTATGATTTATTGCAATAAATTAAATGTAGTAAATCGAATTTTAAATTAAAGAAATATTGTAGTCTAGTGCATGAAAATAAATAAATCATATACAATTATTTATTTACTTATTTTGAAGTTATTATATTTTGCTATGTGCCTCTTAATATTTGTTTTGATATTTGCTTTTAATGNCTCTCTCTCTCTCTCCCTCTCTCTCTCTGTCTGTCTCTCTTTGTCGCCTTTATACTTTGAAAGAGCTTCAAGGATAATCGCTTGTTTTGCTTAACTTGGGCCAAGCCCTATTTGGCCCACAACTCGCGTTTGAGCATATTTATTTATATTGCGCGCCTGTGTAGGTGTGTGTGTGTGTGAGTTTTCGTCTAAGGCGCAGCATTCATTCAGTCATTTGCAGTGCCCGTTGCCATTTAGTGCACTTATTCATTAAAATACAGAAAAAGGAGAATAGGCGCAGCAGCGGTATCTCTCTCTCTCTCTCTCTCTCTCTCACACACTCTGTGTGTGTGTAGGAGGTAAAATGGAGACCATTGCGAAACAAGAGTGAAAATGAATGAAATAAAAAATGTAAACATACACAAGTGCAATGCAAATTAAAGCAGACAGCAAAGTGGCTGCTCCTGTACGCTCGTGCAGGACAAGTGGCACAGTCAGAAGGTGGAGAGAGAAAAGGGGGGGGGGGGGGGGTGGCTAGGTGGAATGGAATGCTGGCAGTGGGGCAAATGTGGCCAACGCCGACTGATGCCATGGCGAAAGTTAGATGGAAACAATGAGCAAAGCAAAAGGGATTGTGGGCGATGGAGCGAGGAGGTGGAGGAGGCGTGGCAGCGTGGGTGGCTGAATGGTTAGAGAGAGAGAGAGAGAGAGAGAGAGAGAGAGAGAGAGAGAGAGAGCGAGAGCGGCATGGTGTGGTTGAGGCACGGCAGCAAGTCCTTGCCAACGCGAAGAGGCAATTCATTAGCTTTAATTTAGGTAAATGTCCTTGGTCCTTGTGGTGCTGCCTCTTGTGGCGAACGTTGCAAATGCAACTAAAATGTTGCGGTTACCTCCATTTTCATTTGCTTACCACATTTGCGTATATGTGTGTGCATGTGTGTGTGTCTGTGTGTGTGTGTTTTATGAGTGTACTCGTTATGTTTTCTCTGGCAGCTCACTTAATATTTAAAGCCATCAAAAGTCGTGCGAGTGGCACGATTCAGCAGCAACGCCAGCTGCCTAAATTACCCAATTAACAAATTAAATTGCATTTCATTTGATTTATGCGCATTCGCCTTTAATATACAACAGCTAACCGTAACATGCATAATCGAATTTGATTGATTGAAATCGTTAAATTTGCGCTCATGTTCAGTGCAATGAATTCAGTTGGGCTTGAGAGCTATTCGAGATGGTCCCTATAGAAGGCAGGAATGAAGGCTGGACCTGTAGAGGTTCTACGACATCCAGCATTCAGTTCACTCCGTGCTTTGAGCTGTCAGAGTCAGAGCCAGGCTCTTGGATTGGGTAATCCATTGATCCATCTAGCTAGTGTTACCTAGAGGCAGCGCTGATCTGAGCACCCAAATGACTCTAGGTCTGTCTGCAGCAGGTGTCTTAGGTTGCTATAACTGTTCCAGCCTCAGCTCTCAGCTCTGCTGGATATAATCCACGTAGGCCTTGTCAGCTCCCATTCTCATTTTCAGTCCATCAAAGTAGCTCATGTGTTTTTCTAGCTCACATTCGCTCCGACTACAAACTGTATTTCTCATTCAATATCAAGCGCTTCAACTGTAAGCATTATATATTAACAAAAATACAGAATAAATTCAACATTTTGATTTTCAAGAAAAAAAAAGAAAAAACAAACAAATTTCTCCCATTTTATAAATATTTGGTAATAAAACGACAAATTCGTTCGACTATCAGGAAAAATCTTCACAGTTTCGTTCACCCTTAAGCTCAGCCCTTAGAGATTGCGCTGGGCGAATAACCGTAAACAGAAACACATTCCATAGGCATATATAAAATAGTTTTTTTGACCTACACAACTGACTTTGCGTCCAGGAGGATATTTCAGTGGTCTAGTCTCGTTGCCAGTCCCCCAAGTGAGTACGCTGAGAGCGCGAGCTGAGTGCGACGATTGGCACACAGAGTGATCTCAATTTCGTTCAGCTATAGCTTATCGATATCATGGAGACAGAGAAACCCAAGAAGATGGTGCAGCATACTCGACTCATACATCGCTTCATCGACTTGGAGAATGAACATTTGGAGATGGGCAGGCCAGATAAGGTGGACATTGACGAGATCCTTTTGGAGAAGTTCCGCACAAAGAGCGAGCCGGATATTCTGATTGTGGCGGGCGACACTACGTACGGCTGCCATGCCGTGGTGCTGCGCCACTTCAGTCTGCTCTGTGAGAACGTTTATCCCACCGGCCTGATCACCGCTCTGCCGAAGAATCTAACGAAGGATGGCTTCCTGCTGGCCTACGACTACATGCTGCTGGATCAGATACGCTGCAAGCGCCGCCAGCTGCTTGAGCTGCTCGACGCCGCACGCTACTACTTCATACCGGGGCTGGTGTCCAACATCTGCGATCTGTTCGCCGATCGGGAATTCCATACCGAAATGGACGCATTGAACATGTATTTCGCTGCCACAAGGAAGAAGAAGCTGGGCATCGCCAGGATGATGATGACCTGTGTGCGACGGTACTTCCTGCCGATGGTCAGCACTAAGGAGTTCCGCAACATGGCTCTGGGCTGTGTCGTGAAGCTGCTGTCCTCCGACAAGCTGGCCGTGCAGCACGAGCTGGAGGTGTTCTACGCGGCCCTCTATTGGATCTTCAGCGACTACCATACCCGTAAAGCCAGCCTCAACATTGTGTTCCGTACGGTGCGTTTTGTTCTGCTGCCGCCGATGTTTCTGCTCAATATGAGCCAGCGCCTGCACGAGATGTTGCCCCGTGTGGCCGACGAGCTGATGCCGTTCCTGGAGTACGCCATGCTCTATCAGCAGAGATCCGAAAAGGGCGGCGTTGAGGAAGAGGAGCTGCGGCTGCGGTCGCGCTGCTTGATCACCGATCCGGAGTGCCCCTACATGCAGCGGAAGAAGCAGTTGAAGCTGTACGGCTTTAAGCACATTGAATTTCTCACCTATATCACCAAGCTGCGCTGCATGGAGGACTTTCTGGCTCGCATAACTCTCAACTAAACGTGTTTGCTTACAGTTTATGCTGATGCTGATGCTTGCTTGATTTGAATAACCCAACGATTATAATAAATTATGAAAACTCTGCCCGGATCTCTGGAATATTTCACCTTGTCCTGTCCTCTGCTGTCCTGGCTGTCACTCTGGCTCCTGCTCACATCTAATCTGCAGCGCTCAATTACCTTGACAACCTCATGCGGCATCTGAATCCGCTTAAATGTCGATTGCAGTTTACATTTCCAGCTGGCTGCGATTCGAGTTCGAGTTGCCGCAGTTGCCGCGCAACAAAAAGCACAGCTAGCTGAGTGCAGCGTGCAACGGCAGCAGTTGCCACAGCTGTCCAATTTGTGTGCGTGTGCGTCTCTGTGTGTGTGTGTGTGTGGGCGTGGGCGTGGCATCCCCCGGCTGCATTCTCAGCCAGCGTGACATTGGCATTCCTTCTCGGCGTGCCCTAAGCCCACACACTCTCCCCAGTTCTCCCAAACTCTCGCTTTCTCTCCCTCACTCCCTCGCTCCGTCTCCCTCTCTCCCTCACTCTCTTGCTTAGCGCTGTCCAGCAGCAATAAATCATGCGAGGCCGAGCCGAGCTGCAGCGTCTGCCTAATTAGATAATGTCAGCAGCACGCAGCGCGTCATTTCCTGCACAGGATCTGGGCCTACGCTGACCGAGTGGCTCTGGCTTCTGGCTTCTGGCGTCTTTACACCCACACGTACGCACACTTCAGTATGTGTGTGTGTGTGTGCATATTCTTGACCCCAATTAAATTTAAATCATTTGAGTGCTTCCAAAGTAAAACTAATTGCTTTTGCTGGCTCGCCTTAGACCCAGCTGAACCTCTCCATTCCCGCAACCCCTGCGCCCTCCGTCCTCCGCCCACTGCCCCCACGCCCTCACATTGTGGCAGCCTTTGCCATTGTCTCGAGTAGCCCATTCATATTAACTCTGTTATTGTTGTTGTTGCTGCTGCTGCTGCTCAATTTGCCAGAGCAATTTCCAATTGCCATGCGCTTGTGTAAATCTTGCAAATGTTAAGTGCGACAACAACAGTTGCTGTCGCTGCTGCTGCCGCTGCTGCTGTTGTTGTTGTTGTTGTAAAAAAGTTGCTGCTTGCTCTTGTTTTAATTCAATTTGTCAGACCGCAAATAAATAGACACTTAAATGCCGCAGCGTCTGCATCCGCCCGGCACAAAATGTTATTATAATTCTCTTCTTTTGTTCCTCCCTCTCTCTTACTGTATCTCCCTCGCTCTCTTTCAGTATCTTTCTGTTGTTCTTTTTCTCTGCTTTTTTCTCTCATTTTTTTGTTGTTGTCTGCGACGAATCAGTCTGCATATTAATGCGTCTCTGGACGCACATTAATGCATTGGATAATGAATAGCTCACACACAGTGAGGGCGAGCGAGTGCGAGAGAGAGAGGGAGAGGGACAGCGAGAGGGGCAGGCTACACATGTACGTGCCTGGACATGACGTGCAATCATTTTAACCCCAATGACCCCAAAAAGTCAGGGCTGCCTTAGAAAGTTTCTCTTTCAATGCCATTAAGCAGACACACACACACACACAGACAGAGATGCAAACACACACACATACACTTCTCTCTTTTTTTCTCGTCATTATTGTTGTGCCACGCCCTGGCTGCCGCCCTTTTAGCAGCAAGCAAACTTTGTTGATGCTTCAGTCACATGTTAGCTGCAGCTTAGCCTTAACCGTGCCACGCCCACCTCACAGGTGCCAGCTGGCAGCTGCTTAAGGGGCATGCAACGAGCGCACAGCCTGCCGCTTGTTGCCACTTGTTGCAGCATGCAGCTCAAATCAAATGATTTTCCAATCGACCTAACCTGACCCGACCTGAACCGGATCGACCTGCTCCGACCTGGCCTCGCTCTCGGCTCAACAAATTAGCCAAATAATTAATTATAAAAAAGTTCCTTGGCGAGTTAAGCGCCTTTTGGGGCATGCAGCAACTGATGCCGGCTGAATGTCTTTAATAAATTTATTGTGTATGGCAATTAGAATGTTGTGCCATATGTGTGTGTCTGTCTCTGTGTGTGTGTGTGTGTGTGTGCAGGGACAGAGACCCAAAAGTTTACAATGCCTCAGCTATACACATACATATGTACACATATATGTATGTATATGCAAAAAGCCCAACTCATGTGTTGCGCCTAAAACAGGGCAAACATTTGTTGCCTGATTACTTTTAAATTATTTTGTGGCATCATTTCTGTGGCTCTGCGCCAGGCACAACTACAACAACAAGAATATGCGGACAGCCCACAGAGCAGCAGGAGTAGGAGCAGCAGCAGTGGGAGCAGCAGTGGGAGCAGCAGGAGCAGCAGGAGACGGCTAAGGCGGAGGCTGGCATGCATAATCATAAATAAAAGACGCGCGACGGTCGGCGAGCGGCCGTCGGGCGGGAGGCGGGCGGCAGGGGGCGTGCCAAAAAGGATCAGGATGACAGAGCTGCTGGAGGGGCATAGAAAAAGCTTTGAGGGCTTTTGTTGAAAATGGCAAAACACACACACACACACACACACACACACACACATACACACAGAGGAACACACACATACACTCGCACACATGTGCGTAGGGGTAAACAGGATACGAGCAGGACACGCTGCGGCTGCTTTGGCAAAGGCAAAGGCGCCCAAGCATCTGGTTTATGGATAAGGCTGCTCTTTGAGGCGCCTCACATTATGATATGCTTAAACAGCACAAAACTGTTTAATTATTTATGGATGCTTCCCTTTGTCGATGGGCATGCCCCGGAACGTAACGGCAACGGAATGGGACGCAATGGGACGGCACGGTACGGCACGGCCTGGCACGGAACCCATTTTGCTGGCAATCAGTGAAGCATGTGTGCTGCTCCTTGATGAAAAATCTTTGCACGCCAATCTTGTCATTGTGTGTGTGTGTCCTTCAATTGTAAATTAGCAAATCACTTAACCACTGTGCATAGTGGATCAAGAGAGAAGAGCGAGCCAACTAAGTGCCAGATCAAAGCCATCGATCGTAAAAGCCACAGTCTGTCTCTCTCTCTCAATCTCCCTCTCTGTAGGTGTGTGTGTTTCCAGGCAGACAACGTTAGATAATAGAAATTATAATGCTAAACAAGTGCTGGCCATCCATTTGGGGCTGGCTTACAAAATGCTCAACATAAAACGCATCTCATGCAACCTTTTTTGGCTACGCTTGTTCATAAAAATATACACAGCTCAGTTAGGTAAATAAATATGTGCGTGTGTGTGTGTATGTGAGTGTGTGCTTTGCACAAATTAGTGAGCTCTTTTGTGCGGCTAGGTTTAATATAATAAAACAAAACACAACCCAAAAACAAAACAAAAAAAACAGGGTATAAAAAAATAGAGGATAAAGAAACACAACATTCCTTTCATTTGCACAATAAGGCAAAGGGACATAGCACACCGACACACACACACACACACACACACCAACACACACGTGTGTGTCTAAAAGGACATATGTCACATATGGCGCACATCAAATGCGCTTATCAGTTGTTATACAGTTGTTCATCCTTTGGCATTCCCTTGATTAATTCCGTCCACTTCCAAATTAAATACAACAAAATGAAAATGTTTTCCGTAAAATTAAGCGGCGAGAACTGCATAAATTATTAAATTGAATAAAATATGTTGTGCTATTTAGTTTCGCTTCAGTTGAAAATAGTTTTGATTTCATTTTATATATACATATGTATGTATTTACATTTATTATTTCCATTTATGCATGATAAACAAAAACTTGTATATTGTTTTTCCTGTTATTTATATATATTTTTCTATATACATACACTTGGAATAAGCTACTTTGAGCTAAAATTCCAGCTAACTTTATAATTA